ATGCCAAATTGGTAGACATCGCCCAACCCTTATTATGAAAATACGTTCTTTATCACATACCTTATACAAAAAGAAAGTGGCTGTAATATTAATGGTGGCAGCTTGTCTGAATCAACACTGCTTACCAGACTGTAAATGATTCTCCATTTAACTAATAAACACTAATTATTTTAACACTAGCATTGCAAGAGTGCTATGCTCTGACTAATTTATGCTGCTTAAACACATATTGACAACCACTGAGGGTAGCAGGAAGTTAAAGAAGACAATATAAGAAGAGTAACAATAAACACTTTTTATCAAGATATTTAATGTCATCACCAGAGGGAGAGTAGGAGCAATGTAACAAGCGGTTACCTGATGCCAGGGCGGTTTCTGAGCTGGGGAAGCCATGCATTTAGCTTGCCTGGACCTCATTTACCAACAGGGGTCTGATAACTTCATCTCACGGACTGCCATTTGAATAATCGCTTCAACAAGGGGGGAAAATTAAAAGCCTCTGAGTGAGACAGGGCTGGGCAAAGGGCCACCGCTGAATTCCAAATCAGCAATTGGTATGCGAAAGGTGAGGGGCTGTCTCTTCTTTGCCCACGTCAGACTGCTCAATCTACACACGCCTTACTACTAATTCAATGTCATTATGGTGCTTTTAACATTACAAATTAAAATCTGTCTGAAAATGGGAAGAAAACCACTTGTTGCAACCAGACAGAAAAAGAGAGAAAATGATACACTGGTTTCACGCGACACAAATGTAAGAGAACAGATGTTTGTGCAGCACAGCTGGAAGGCTTAACTTTTCTAAATGTGGGACAAAATCTCATTAACCAATTCAGCAGAGGGGAAAAATAAAAAAAAATGCTAATACCTCAAAAAACACTGTAAACAGCGTAACGGTAAAGACAGCTCATTACACCGAACACCGTATAGCTCCAACGTATAAAAAATTAATAACGCAGTCACCAAAGATCTAAAGCACCATACAATGCCCCATTTGGCGTGTAGCCTATGGCGTCGTTTAGCGATGATAAAGTAGGTGGAATGCATAAAGCCAGCAGTTTCCAGGTGAGTTTAGACGTAGCGGCAGGATGCCCATTGAGGCCTGAGGGCAAGACAGAGACGAGTCTGTATGCAATACTGCAGCGGAGGCCTCGTCAGATCCTGGCATGGGAACAGTTATGCTACGCTACAACAGATGCCATGCTTGTGTTCTTTAACAGCTCCCATTCCAGCCCATTTAGCAAAACACTAATGAACAACATACAGAACAAGTTAAAAGATAAAAGACACTTAAGGGCTAATACCTTTCTTAAGACAGGATTTAAAACCAGAGTAACAAAAACTTCTTTCATGGCTACTCTTAATCGCCTTGAAAAAAATCACAATTTGTAAAGATGTGAACCATATTAGTTTTACTTTCATGAATATAGAGATGAATTTTAAAATTGACAGATAATTGTTTAAATGTTTTAATGATTAAATATTTAGTCAAATAAAATTGTTTCAAACAAAACATGTATTATTATCTGGTAATCAATTCATAGGTTTTTATTCTGTACTCAGTCACTTTCCACCCCGTTAGTCTTTTCTAATATCTATATAATACATAATCTACATTTAACTAATGAATGTCAGGTCCCTAATGACACTATCCTCCAGGAAATTACATTTTGGTGGGAAAACAACAGCAAAAACATGAGCAAGCAGCAGCAATGAATTCGGTGATATATGGTATTAGCTGGTCAAATTCAATATAATAGCAAAAATAGGTATGCTGTTATCAAAGATTTACAAATAAAAAAACATCCATAATGCAAGCACATTTAAAAAACAAGTGATTTTAAACCGTTCAAGAGCAAAAAGCAGCGAAAGCGACTATTTTTGATATATGCGCGCCGCGCACTGTCTGAAAGAAATGCACGCACATTAAGCCGCTGCTCATTCAGTGCGAGTGAACTGTTTTTAACGCCTTATTGGGCTTGAACAGTCAAATAAACATTTATGTGATGTGTAAAAAAAAACATCTTTGCCAGTATCCTCCTCATAAACACAGTTGTTTATGTCTTTGAGAAAGAAAGCACATGTACATCAGTGCATTCGGTCTTAAAGTGACAGCAGCCTAATAAACCTGCTGCCGTTATTGCCATTTACGCTAATCAAACAATCTCACTACTCTTGACTGAATCACTTTTGTAACTTTAACAAGAATAAATGTATATTTAATTGGCACAGTAAAGACAGTATTTTTGGTACATTTTTGATTAATTTATTCAATATATAGTAGCCAATTTTTATAGGCCTATCTAACGCTTGAAGTTTTTCAGGTAGATCCATTTCATTTGTGTCTATTCTTTTGTAGTTTTTTGTCCTATTGTTTGTAATTATTTTAGTTGCTGTTTTATCACTGACTATTTATTTGTCTTCAGTGAGCTTGAGTTTTTTTGTGGTTTTTTTTACACTTTTGTTAGTTAGGCTAGTATTCATTTTTGTGTGATTATGAAATTGGTGATGAGATTTATGAAATTTCAATAAAATTGATATCTTAAAAACTTTAAAGCAAAAATAACTATCATCGTGATATATTGTTATCGTGAAATAAAATTAATCATTTCGTTATTTAAGATTTTGGTCATATTGCCCACCCCTGTAGCCTAATAGTCTGCTATAACATTTTATATCAATACAAGGGTACAAAACGTTACAGAGATCATTCAGCATAACATGCATGACTTAAATCATTTTTAAACAAATGTAACAATGTTCTTGATGCAATAATTGTAAATACTAAAAGGCATCAGTTTCAGCACAAGAACCACCAGGCATGTTCTGACAGGCAACTGATGGTTCAATCATTTTCTGCGTTCTGTGAGCTGACAACCCAAAGACAAACAAGTCTGGTGCTAACGTGAATCTTTCACACTATTGTACTGCCACACTGACTGGGTGGGGAAAATATGTCTCGGGTAGTTCACATATGTCCATCATTCAAGATTTTAAGCATGCTGGTGCATTCAACATCTCTCCATTCGTACTCTACTCTTTAAGTGAATGGGGGGGGGGGGGGGGGGGGGATCGGGATCCCATTATAACTAATAGAATGCTGATGGTCGATCTTTATCAGGCCATTACAAATGTAACGTGCATGCAAAAATATGCAGACAAGCTGTCATTGTCAACTACAGGCAAAACCATTGTTTTTTCAAGCACTGGTCAATTTTGAGGTGTTCGGCTATTTTGTTCCATAACATGTGTTCAGACTAGTGGACAAAAAACATCCAAAATACACATTTAAATGTTCATTTTATTACAATTTCTCTATATGCATCATATTCATTACAAAATATATCTTTAAAGGATGTTTTATCAAAATTAGCTTTATCTCATGCACTGAGGCAGCAGAAATCTCCACTTCAGTAGAACTTACACCAAACTTTCCAGTTTTTTTTACCATCTCTATTATGATGTTTTTACAGAGGGGCTTGTTCATATATAATTTGCCGGATTTATTTTTAATTCCTAAAAACATGGCGAAAATGCTTTTTTTCTGACTGTTGACAGAATTTTACAATTTAGTTTCAAGTTCATTTGTCATATGCACAAGATATAAGTGAGTTTGTACAATGAAATGCTCAGGCATTCTACAGGAGAAATAAGAAATACAGATACAAATAGGCTACTAAGACCAAGATTGTACTAAAACATGGAATAAAATAAGAATAATTCACAATCGGATATCCAAACATCCCCTCTGTAAAACCCTTTAACTGACTCTAATATCAACAAAATTATTATTTTTTTTGTACAAAATACAATTTATGTAAATTAGTGCATATTTTATTTGATAACGACTTATTTGCATATTTAAACATACCATTTCAGAAACTAGAAATACGTGACAACTGTTATAATGTACAGAGATGAATCATCTGGAGAGGTATAGTGATATCTATGTGTGTTACCCATCACCTGTGGTGTTTTGGCTTAATGTCAAATTATGATAGCTCCATGTAAATTATAAACGTTAGAAATCGCGATATAAACAACAAGAAAGCAAATTCAACACGGAGCACAACATGACCGCAAAGGTCTCTATTCGCAGTAGCTAGAGGGGAAACCCCAAATACAGACAGCGGGTAACATTCCAGCTGCTGACTAGACGGGGGACTAGTCTTGCATTGACTAACGTTAGATATGACAGCCAAGGTAACCTAGATAGGTATGAAATCTTGCAAATGTGGCTCTATATAGGATTCAGAAACTTACTAAGAATTATCACTCGTCGTCGAATTCACATATAATGCTAATTCATCCAGCATATGCTGACACTGACAGAGGAAAATAACTCATGCACAACTTCATTCAGTCAGAGTAAAAATCTCAATAACGCTGCATAACGTTAAACAATCTTGCATCTCTTGTTGGCACAAAAACAGAACTCGAATGCATATTAATGGCACCAAAAGTTGGCCAGGATTCGTATTTAAAATGACAAGCAGCTGCCGCGCGTCTGTTTCCAAAATATTAATAGATACGGCCTCCACCTCCGACTACTGTTAGTTGACAGGACCTAAAGTTGCTCGTTTGGCAGTTCCCGGTCGAAGAGCCCCCTTCCAGCTCGCCTTACTGACCGAGTTTCAGTCACAAATATTTCACGTCAGGCGCCTGTCAGACACGAGAACAAAAAGCAGGCGAGCTAAAGTAAAACTGGCGGCTAATTAGCTGCTCACTCTCGCTACCTGTCTGACAACAACCGTATTGGCGGCTAGCTGGCTTGCTAACTAAACTTGTTCTCCTGTGACAGTGGAGCTTGCAGTGACCCCACCTGCCCCCGACCGACGGCGGCAGCAACATACCACTTGAGGCCTGAACGTCTGTCCTCCCGCTCTACTCAGAACTTCAGCACCACACAACTAACAGTTAAAGTCGTCCATTTTTCGCGGGCCCTGACTTCAACTTCGCGAGCTCCATGTCGCGAGCTTGTAACGTTAACCCGCACTCACCCAGGCTCGTGTCCGCTACTGGAGGCCAGTGCAGGTCTGTCAAAGTTAGGCGTCCCCTTCCTTTTTTCGATCACAGCTCCCTCTCTCTCCTCGAAATGAGCCTCAGCTCTCCGTGTTTATCGTGGGTTTGAGACCCGCAATCCCTTTACCGGTTTGTCCGTGGCGTCTCCTAGCTTCTCCGCCTCTCTCTCGCTCGTTCGTCTTTCTCTCTGAATAGCTAACATCCGGGGACTGCGCGGATCAAAAATCCGGAACTACTTTTGGGCATTAGCCGGAGAACGGCCCACTGTACCAAGCTGCGACAGGGCTTGCAGCCGGAAAGTAGTGCCTTTAGTGTACACACATATTGTCATGAGAATTATTATCAATGACTTTTCACATTTACCATTATCATATTAAGCATAATCATATCGTACAAAAAAATTCCTTCTAATATTAAATGTAATAATCGATTCATAGAAAACTTTACTGCTAATAATATTACAGATCATAAAGTCTATGTCGAATGGTTGCAGTATATAATGTAAATTTATAATCGGAATGTGTGAATAGGATTTTGTTTTACAATTTTTAATTTTTAATAAAAACATAGATGGTATTATTATTATTATTGTGTCTGGACGGAGGAAGAAAAATATCCTCTCACACTGTGTCTGGAGGAAGAAAAATATTCCTCACTAGTTTTACCTTTTTTTGTACACCGTGTTTCTGTTTTTAAATAGCAGCTTCTTTATTTCTTGTATTTAATTCCATTATTATTTTATTAATCTTTTTTTTATAATTGTGGATCTTAAAAAAAGAGTTAGGTAATACCTTAAACTATATTTGTAGGATGGGTAAATGTAACATTAATAATAATACAGCTTTGAGCTGTATAAATACTTCTCATTTCGCATTGCTTAAACAATGCTGCCCCCTGTGAACCAGGTGGACTACACGTTTACACATATTTTGTAGTTCATTCCTCCTACAATGCCGGGTTTTTTCTTTCTTTTTTTTTCTTTTTGCATTTTGGATGGATAATTATACCACTGTTTATTGACCATAGTAAATTAAATACATTAAATAAATAACGTATTACACTGTCCTTCTTTTATCTCTGTTTTCCTGTGTACTTCTTTTGTCTTTTCATATTACTGTTCCATGATCCACATAAAATCTGAGGGAATAACAATAATCTTAAAACCTTTATTTTGGAATTTACACAGCAGACCTCTGAAAGAGCCAATCACAACAGCCAAAGTTACGCATGCGCACACTCAACAACTATAAATTGTAGGAACTGTTTCTGCTGATCTGTCATACACTCAGTCCAAGTTTATTAGGGTCATTCGTACGTTAATTATATTTTTTCGCGTTTTATTTGTGAGTGAACAAACAGGTAAACCTTCGATAGCTTATGTTAACGATAACAAGAGCAGCATACACTGACAGCGAGAATGTTAATATTGTGTTTAGGTACCAACACATTAAGATTAGTGTAGTACGCATGTTACAAGAAATTTGTTTTTGTTTTGTGAAAGTCATGACGATAATCATGATGCTCTTTCTCACACGTAACTTGTAATCATTGCATGCATGTGGTAAAATATATATCTGACCTTCATTTCATAGTTGACCAACAACAGTATATTGATACAGTGCTGCTCTGTGACAATTATGTAGCATGTAATGGCATAAATTTGGCTCTGGAATGTGTCAGGTCATCGTCTTTAGCATATTTTTAATTCCAAATTGGCATTTATAACCACATACCTATTGATAACACCTCAATAACTGAAACTTTTTTTTTCAGGTTTACAATGGCCCACTTTGACCCCTCAGCCTCAAGTGCAGTGGATGGAAGACTGTCTGAAGAGTTTGCGGTCCCCTCTCATGTGGAGGAGGTCAGGAAACTCATGGCAGAGTTTGCTGAACATCACAGATCGGCCGGGCGCAAAGTAGTTCTGATCACCTCGGGAGGAACTAAAGTTCCTCTGGAATCCCGAACGGTACGATTCCTGGACAACTTCAGCAGTGGTCGGCGAGGGGCATCCTCTGCTGAGTATTTCCTGGACTCAGGCTATGCAGTGATCTTTCTGCACAGGCATCGTTCTCTCTACCCATACACTCGTCTATACGCAGGGGTCAATTTACTGGATAGCTTACGATTAGAGACTGGTAAGGAGGACACTGATCAGATCCTGGTGGATCAGAACACACTTCCAAACATTGCAAAGGTTTTAAAGCGCTATCAGGCAGTGAAAGCTGCAGGATTACTGCTGCCGGTGGAATTCAACACCTTGTCAGAGTACCTCCATCTTCTCAAAGCTGCAGCCCAAGCATTAAGCTCCATAGGTAAACAAAGCCACTTTTTGATTACTTTAGGCCGAATACATTTTTAGTGGGATTACTAGTAGTTATAATTAATTATGTTTTTCCCTCCTAGGGTCCAAGGCTATGTTTTATTTGGCTGCTGCGGTTTCTGATTTCTACATCCCAGCATCTGAAATGCCAGAACATAAAATCCAGTCCTCTAATGGGCCACTTCAGGTGTTGTGTGAAAATGCAAATATTAATTCAGTCTTCTATGCCTGGAGTTTTCAGTCTTTTAGAAGCCACGGATCGCCAAATATGATCACCCTTGTGCAAGGGACCCAATTCTAAAATTCAACATTTAGCTAAGTATTTTCATGGATAAAGACCCTATTTATGTGAAAAAATTATAATAAAATATTTAGTTTTACATATTACTTTTTTCTGCTTACTATAATACTGTACTGTTTTGATGTATTATTTAAATCATTTATTCTTTTTCTTTTTTTTATAACATGGACCCCCTAACACTCCCTTGCTGAAAACCCCTGTGCTAGTCTAAATTTAGTTAATCTAGGCTCTAAACAATATATGACAAGTTGTTCATTTGCTTGTTTATGTAATGTAGATAAGTATGAAGATGGTTCCCAAGATGCTGTCTCCATTGGTGAAGGACTGGGCACCTCAGGCATTTGTCACCTCTTTCAAGCTGGAAACGGACCCCAACATCCTTTTGGAGCGAGCACGGCGTGCCTTAGAAACGTACAACCACCAGGCAGTGGTTGCAAATGTTCTCGACACTCGCCGTGGTTATGTGGTTGTCGTCACCAAAGACACGCAAGACGAGCTGGTCCTCACAGATGAGGAAGTGCAGAAAGAGGTAGAGATTGAGGACAGGATTGTCAGTAATCTGACTGCAGCACACAGTCAATTTATGTCTCAAGTATGAAAAACCTTGCTGTGATTTCATAGCATGTAAGCTCAAGTTGCTCTTTCAGACATGTGGAATGTTTGCTGTCTTGTAACGATTAAGGTACAAATTTGAAAAGAGAAGCTTATCCTGGAGAATCGACTTTGTAGTCATTCCGAATGACGTCTGCAAGTTCGGAAACTTTTCTGTTGTGAAATTCAGTTGCTTATTACAGATCTAACAATTTCCTTCATATTTATTTCCTCTGTACAAAGAGATCTGCAAACATCTTATTTTAGCAATATTCTTTGACCTTTAATCAGTTTAAAAACAAAATTATATAAATAAATATATGCTTCAGTAGCGATCATCCTAAACTCACCTTTGCCTAATATCTTAAATCTGTTCTTGTTTATTACATTGAGTCGGTCTACAACAAATCACACTTTAACAGCTGATGATGTAAATTAAATTTACAATAATAACATGTATTAATATTGTATAAAAAGATTTCTGCAATAAACATTAAATTAAACGCTTTAGTACTTTGAAGTACATTCTTTGAATATGACAACAGTTTTGAAAAGCACTGCATGCATACCAAAAAACATTTTTGCACAATTTTGAACTTGAGATTTTATTTCATAAATTTTTTGAGCATGTAATTTCCATCTGTTGATATCTGGGATAGAGAGTATAAATAGAAACACCAGAAAAGTCCATTTTAATATCACATTCAAGCTTGGATGAGTATCATCTGTAGATTGATCACTTGAATTTGACACTCCTCTTAACTCCAGCACGAATACCAGACCATTCTCCACTGTATCTCGTCTCCTCGCGCCGCACCTCCCGAACCTGACACAAATAATCTGTAATCAGTGTCCGTTCTGGATACTAGTGCTTTATAAATGAAAGTGAATTAAACAAATGAATCCTATGACGCTTACCTGACCCTTGCGACGAATCTGGGCACGTCTGAACTTCTCTCTGTGTTTGACTCTGGGATTCCGGTCAATCTTCTTCCTCTTGGGTGTGAGCCCTTTGTTCTTGGACATCTTTTCACAAAACATATGATGTGAATATGATAACACTGTCCGTAATATTGTTTAAAATTGTATAGATGTTTTGGGAAATGGCTGACTATCAGGTCATTTGTTGCTAAAGATTTTTGAAAAGTTGTTTGGGTACGAGTTGAAGGCATATTAACCACAAAACCTCACCTGATAGGTGATCCTTCTTTTAGCATCTCCCTCCATCTGTTCCTCTTCCACCAATCTGGTAATGCAGTTAGTGACAGTGAGGTTTCTGAAACATTATGACAAACCACAAGGGCTGAATGTTGTAAATAGACTCACCCGTCCTCGTTTTGCATCTCAATCTTTTTCCTCTTGAGTTTCTGCCTCTCCGCCATGGCGTTGTAGAAGCGCAGATTCGCTTCCTCGTCTGAATCGGACTTCTCTTCTCCTTCCAACTTAGCCTCTTCTGATGCCTAAAATAAAGACATGTCAAACTCGGCAAAAGTGATGCCAGTGCTAATACTGACACATTAATAAGGAAAAGCAATTACTTTGGTATGTTTGCTGCCGGCTGATCTCCTTGCAGTTCTGTCTTGCTGTTCTCCAAAGAGAAGCTGCCGCAGTTGAGGAGCCAGTCTAGCATCTACTGCTCCTAATTCATTTATCAGCTGTGAAAGTGATAAAGAGATTCTTGAAAGCTTCTTTAAATGAATGCCTGTGGTTAATTTGAGTGTACTTACATTTCTGTAGGTCAGCAATCTCTCAATCACAGGATGGTTATGTGCTGGAATTCGCTTAGCTTTTAGAACCAAATAAAAACTAATATTTGTGCAATAGCTGGAAAGAGGGGAATAAGCATAGTGAAAAATAGAATGGCACTATTCTTCAAAAGTTTGGGGTCGGAACTTTAAGAATGTTTTTGAAAGTCTCTTATGTGCACCAAAGCTGCATTTATTTGATAAAAATACAGTAAAACAGTAATATTTAGAGATGCACCGGTCGACCGGTTATCAATCGGAGGTTTTTTTGGCCGATCTCTGTTCCGGCACACAAACTGCATTGTAATAATTTACCAAAATGTTGGGGAAAATTTTTAAAATTGAATGGGGGTGGGAGTTTATATGAATGTATGCCTGAAGGGGAGGGAAACTGTCTTCAGAAAAGTTTCAATTGCTTTTACTTTCCCTCTCCCCTCTGTATAATGCCTAATTAAGTAGTTTAGAAGTGCAATGCTGCTTTGTTTACAGTCAGCGAGACAGGGATAGCTGCAGGTTGGAGTAATGGGCGTTCTGAAAGGTAGGGGCGTTCCAGAAGGTTCGCAAAACTACAACAGAAACCAATCCCTAACCCTTCCCCACACCCTAATAGGCAGCTTCCACCAACAATTGTAAAGACCTTTCGGCACACCCACTACCTTTCAGCACGACCATTACTCAGAACCCACGCTTGTTTACAGCAGTAACCACGAAAATGCTAACAGAGAGTGAACATTTTCATTCAGTCCGCCTGCTCTTTTTGTTTTTATGCAGGTATGTTTTATGTAGCATAATTTCAACAAAGCTAAATTCGGACTATGCTGTTTTTTGCTTTAAATCTATAAATTATGCATATCTAATTTAAATCATCTTGGTTTGGATGACTAAAATGCAGTGGTTGCCTCTAATTTCAAATGGTTACAGATATTGTTTGTTTAAAGCCAATTTGGCCTGTAATCGAGCAAATAAACATCAAATCAATTTTTATTTATTTTTTTATCAGCAACCGTCCGGTATCAGAAATGCCCCATTTGCTAGTAAAAAGAAAGGCAACTGGAATCAGCCATGAAAAATCATGATCGGTGCATCCCTAGTAATATTGTGAAATTTTATTACAATTTAAAATAACTACTTAATATTTTATTAAATGTTTCAAATGTAATTTATTCCTGTGATGGCAGTTGTGCTGTTCAATATTTAGTGGAAACTGTGATATTCTTTTTCAGGATTCTTTGATTAATTGAAAGTTAAAAAAACACAGCATTTTATAAAGGTACTATTTCTTTCAAACAATATTACTGACCACAAACTTTTGAATGGTAATGTTTGTGCTACGAATATAAATATGATATAATGTAAATACTGCAATCACTCACAGAATTAGAGTATATAACATGATATAGGTGAGGCTTACTTTAGATAAAGTTGCTGTTTCGTAATAAGGTATTTTGCCCCCTAGACGATGAAAAGAATACAAAGCAAAAATAAAATGTCAATTTTAAAGTGTAATTACAGCAATAATTATGTAGATTTAACTCACCTTTCCAGGAGGAATCCGTCCATCTTTGACCATCTCCACAAGGGGCTGAACTTCATCCCTCAATTCTGTAAGCTGAGTATGCAAAAAAAAAAACCCTCAAATTTAGCAATACAACAGCACTGATGGAAACCCCTTAATAGCAATGCAAAAAGACCACATAAATGTCATTCATGCAAGCCTTTACCTTTCCTTTGAAGTCCTGAATAAGTTCCAACAACTCTGGTGATTCTTTCTTCAGCAGTTTAAGCTTTTCCTTCTGTGACATGGTCTTCAAATCTTTCACAATCCTTTCCTCTTTTTCAACGTCCTTCTCCACTTCAGTGTTTGCTGCAAACTCCTAATAGACCACAGGAAAGTACAAAGAGTGAGTAATATGATGCAAACACCTGGGGTCTCATTTATAAAGCGTGCGTACGCACAAAACGGGGCTGGAAACGTACGTACGCCAGTTTCCACGCAAAGGTTGTGATCTATAAAAAACAAACTTGACGGGAGAATGTGCGCACCTTTAAGCAAACTTTGAGCCGTGCGTACGCACATTCTGGAGACAAAGGGAATTGGCGACACAGATGGTGAGTTGGAGTTCAATGTCTTTTTGCTCACTTTTAGACAGAAAATCTAAAGAAAATGATACATATACAGAAAGATAATACAAATATAATTTCACTCACCAAGCCTATCACTTGAAGCAAATATCCATCCATTCTTAAATGTCCGCGCCAGCGAGCGCGTTGGGCCGTTTAGTGAAACTGACGCATATATAGCCTATCTAACTGCAGATGAAGTAAAACCGTAAATCTTTATTATGAGTCATAATCATAAATAGAGTGCATGTTCACAATGACACTTTAAATAAATAAAATAATGATTTAAACTGTTTTACTTTTGATATAAACATTTAGATTAAATATGCCATTCCCATTAATGGAGTTAAACACTTAAACTACATGAAATCATTACTGAGAAGTTACAAATTTTTTTTAATATTCAATAAATAGAAATATTTTTTGTGGATGCAATGCTTTTGAACACTTTTCCTCTGGCATTCTGTGTTTTAATGTTTTACATACATAATTGCTTATCATGATAATAGCAGATTGTCTGAGTAAATAGTTTCATGCAAATAATGCACAAGATCTATCTGTTTCCATTAAAAATATAATACATTAAAAATATTATTTGGCCAGTGAGATTGAGAAACTTTCTCTGAAATGTATTTTACACTATTTGATTTATTTATTCAAAAACAAGGCAAGGATTATGATTTTTATTAATGTAGCCTAATGTGACAGCACTTCCGCAGGGCTCCCGACTAACTTTTCCACTGGTTGCACTGGTGCGACCAACTTTCTCAGTTGGTCGCACCAGCATATGATTTGGTCGCACCTTTTTTTTTCTTTTTTTTTGCTACATGCCATGGGATTAATCAATGCATGCTGATGAATAGTGGTTTTAATGGACCAAGGCTAGCAAAGGCTTTCTGGGTTGCAGCAGAAATACCCGTAATATATTAATTATCATTGCCAAATTTCAGGATTTTCATGGATTTTGGACAGTAATTTTAAGCATTTTACATTTGTAGGGCTGGGCGATATGGAGCAAAAAATATATCTCGATATATTTTGCTATATCTCGATATTCGATATATATCTCGATATCTTTACAGGAAAATGGATGTGAATACAACTCAAAATATAGGCCTACAATCAATAGAAAATTAATTTTCCATAACAGAATGTAACCAAATGAGAAAAATTAAACACAGGGCCTGAATTTCGTCATCATTATTAATCACGTGATTCATATACAGAAACTGAATAAAGTAATCAAATGGAAAATAACACTGAGTAGTATTTTAGTCCTGAATAAATTAAATACATAGGTTATTAATCCTGATTCCTTTAACTTAAAGCTATCTTTTGTTGTATTGACAACAAAATGAATGACACACATATGGCTGCCGTCACTTTAAGAGGTAGTGCACGGATCCTGTGTTCATTATACTGGCATGCGTTTTATGCTTATTAAAGACAAAACCGACTATGTTTAGAGTATACTCACGACGACCGAAATTGACAATTTAGCGTGTTAAAGCAATATAATCCGCGAAAAATAACTTTTGTTACTGGCCAGCTGTTCTTAAGGCGGATTTTCTATGAATGTGCGCATAGAAAATAATCTCTCAGAGAGCGCGCGAGCACTGATTAGTTTAAAATCGCTTGAATGTTTAAACTGGTAAGACTTAAAAAGACGTGCAAATGGTAAACTTCAGTCACGATGCACTGCTGGCCCGATTGTGCGAGTGAATATCCATCATGTCCCGACTCCTAAACGAGAGTGTGTTTTATCGCCGCAGCTCTTGATGCTTGCCTTGCACAACACATTATGAGAGACGAGAAAGAAGCGGCACCGCTGAACACTCACGCTGTTTGTGAAATTGCGTCTGGCAGATAGTTGTTAAAAGAATTATTTGATTTTATAATCTGTGTGGATTACGATTGCGGGAATTTCCCGCATTATAAATGGGAGACCTGCGGGAATGATTAGAATTATGCGCAATACCCGCGCCGAAATTCCAGCCCTGCAATAGTTTAAAACAAGACGTTTGTAGTAGCCTTCTGATTACTGGAGTCCATTAATCGAACTTCCATGCCTCTTATATAGTAATTATATATTGTAGTATGTAGGCTACCAATTTACTAATGCAATTAATGCTCACACTCGGTTTCTCTCGTGCTCTGTCGCTCGCGCACAGACACACTCGGAGTTCTGTAGCCTCCGGGCTGGTTGCGGATGAGACAATTGTTGAATGAGACAACACGCGAGGTGAGGGGGAACAAAAGCAAGGAGGCGGGGGCGAGCACAGCACAGAGAAGGCAAACAAGCAAAGTGGCAAAATCAGGATTAAATATAAACAATATATCGATATATACGATATGTCAAAATCCATATCGTGTTTAAAAAATATCTCGATATATTTTAAATATCGAGATATCGCCCACCCCTAATATACAATCTATCTATTTACATTTGGAATCATATTCTATCTATCTATCTATCTTCTAAAAATCATTAAACATTCAAATGTATGCATTACATTTTAAAAGATTAGAGTATTATAATAAACTGATACAGATTTTTCGTTATTAAAGTTTATAGTTGTAACAAAAAGCAGAAATCTCACACTCCTTACCTTCTGCATTTTATAATAATTTCCTTTTCCTCTGTCGAGCTATCATGAGAGTAATCGCTCAACAGAGGAAAATATAACCGCTGAAAAGACGTAGGAGGAAGGGGCTCTGTGCGTGAGACCATATTTATATGCCTTAATTCGTGAATTCGTAATTGGCGCGTTTCACCATCAGTGTGCAATGCGCGTGACGTCTACGTTCGTCAATAAATAAACTGCACGTGTCTTGCGGAAGAACATTGTAGACGGAACTTCTCTCCGTTAATGTCTATGGCGAGTCACGCAGGCACTGGGCTACTCCGCAGCCGAGTCGACCCCGGGATAAAATAGTCCGAATATAAACACTTATTATAGGCGTACCGTAGTGATTCAGAATAAGTCAAAAACACGGTTTGGAAAATGGATTCATGATGTAGCCTACTCGTTCATTTTGAACATAAGTTACGGACTGCAGCTGCTGATACAACGGCGTTCTGTTGCTCAAGCGTCCACTCGCACAAATGCGACCACATAACATTTTAACTCGCACATTCTCAAAAAATGATCGCATATGCGACCAATTTGGTCGCAGTCTGGAACCCTGTTCCGTATTTCATATTTTCCTAATATCTTGTATCGTTAAACATGGTATCACGTGGATGAATAATCATATGCAAATGATATGCAGATGAGGATATGCATAGTAAAACTAGGCGTTGTAAGCTCCATATATGGTTATTTCGGGGAGGAGACGCGTGTGCACATATTCTTCCGCTGACTGGGATTTATAAAGTAAATTGGCGCAGGTTCTGGCGTACGAACGGTTTTATAAGTCTGAATATTTTTTAGCGTACGCCATTTTTGGCTTTCGGGCGCACGTACACTTTTAGTAAGGATCCTACGCACAGTTTTATAAATGAGACCCCTGAACTCTACCGATGTCTTTAGAAAAAAAGCATTGTAGTACCTCAAGCAGGTTTAGATCGTAATCTTCTTCGCTTAGGTTGGCTGCCAATCTTCTTTGAATGCTTTTGGCCTCCTCTTCCTCTTCTTTGTCTTCAGCCTCAACCTCTTCAAGAGATTTTCCCTCTACAAAAAATACAAATCAAACATGCTATTATATGTATATTATGCATTGCAAAATAACAAAGCTATAATGTGTCATATATACAGTATGTAGGTCAAATGAAAAATGCTTACTTTTGGTGACATAATCAGAATTATAAAAAATCTTCTTTTTCTCTCCCCAAGCCATGTCATTTGGAAGATCTGTAAAAATGGAAATGTCAGAGACAATGCCTCAAACATCATTCTTAAATGCACACAACCAGTTATATTTGGAATATTTTTAAAGTACATTACCATCATCTTTCTTTCCTTCCAGGTCACTCTCCATGTCTGTCTCCTCTTTATTATCCTCTTCCTGCACCTCTTCCCCTTCCTCTTCTTCATCATCCTCTGATTCAGAAATTGTCAAGGGCATGACCTCCTCCTAGAAAAAAAAGAAAAAACAATGGTGATCTTTTTAAAAAAAAAAGTATTACCATTGATACAAACTTAAAAAGCCTTTAAAATCATGCTACCAGTTATCAATTGTTTTGTAATTGTTTCATTAACTTACAGCTTTATCTCCATCCTCTTGATCACTGTCTTCCTGCACCCCTCGAGCCAAGAGATTCTACAGACCAAAGTCAAAGGTCAAATATGTACTAGGATAATGTCATGCATGTTCATGCATAAAGAACATGAAAAAAAAAAGTACAACTCACAGAGATTTTTTCATTGTGGAATTCATCAATTTTATCCTCCACATATGTTGACGAATTCTGAAAAGAAAATACAAAGACTTACAACCAGAATACCACAATTATATGTGAACAAAGTTGTTTATGTGTATATATATATATATATATATATATATATATAATTACCTTATCTGGATTATCTTTATAAGCTTCAGGATCATCGCTGTCACATTCTTGTTGCCTCTTTGCTCTAGGCTTTTTTACTGCCCTTTGAAATGAAAAAAAAATGCATTTGCAAAATTATAACGATGTAATAAATTAATTAAAGAGCATAATTATTTGCACCGACATTTGTAGTGCAGGAGTCAAAATTGGTCTCGTGTCTATTTATATAATTAGTTAGTAGTAAGGGAATACAATAAACTAACGTTAGCGCTAACTGGTTTAGTCGTAGACGACGACACATTGTAACGCTAGTGTACTACTAACCTTCTTGCTCGGACCATGCTGTCCTCGGGTGATAAAAAATTCTGTGTGTGTAACACTATTTGTTCTATCTGCTTGAATATTTAGATAATTAGATCAAGCAGTTAACAAATAGCGTGTAGCTCATTAAACCAAGACAACTAGGTGAAAGCAGCTTAACAGCTATCCGCATGGACTTCACAATTCCCACATGCGTTTACAACAGGAAGTAAACTAAGTGATTACTTCCTCTACCGAGTGAGCCTGTGTCAAAATAAAGGTTTCCTAAATGAATCCATTGTTTGAAAATAATTATATATCTGTCTATCTATTTTCAGTTTCAAAGTACTTTTTTGGCATGGTTCTTTTACATAAAATATTCTCAAAAATCAATAAACACACACACACATGTTGGGTTTCCCTGTTTTATGGAGACTTTCCACAGACATAATGATTTTTATACAGGACAAACTGTATTCTATCCCCTAACCCTACCCATCAAAGAAAACTTTCTGCATTTTTACATTAAAAAAAACACGATTTAGTATGATTTTAGTATGAAGCTGTTTTCCTCATGTGGACCAAAAAATGTCCTCCCACAAGATCAAACATTTCTATTAATATATTTTGTCCCCATAATGTAGGGTTTAACAGGCCAAACACAAACACACACACGCGCGCGCGCTGACAGAAAAGAGAAGACAAAAAATCAAGTCACCATGAAATCAAAATGGATAATTCTTGTTTTTTTTATTAAATATTGCTGTGTAATATAAATGATTTATCTGTGCACATCATCATTTTTTTTTACTTATGTGCCCAGATAATCTTTAATCAAAAGAAATTAATCAAGCTGACATGTGAACGCAGAAAGATAAGCAAATACGATCATAACTTCCATCCAACTATTCATAGAGTTCTGCAAGTGGTGCTCACTGCAGAGTCAAATGACGTCCTACTCCACATTCGCTCCTCCTCGCTGGACGTCTAGACTCCACACATTTGCTCTCGAGTTCTGGGCGCAAATATAATTTGGGCCTAATGGGTGGAGCTAGAATATCCAACCACACCCTAACCCTACCCCAGAGTCATTACGGCTCTGCCTAACCCTACCCACAACAACTCTATCCCTCCACCCCCTTAGAGCGCCATAGAGGAGGAGCTGGACTAATCCAACCCCATTGGAGCTCCAGAGAGGAGGAGCTGGTCGTCATTTGACTCTGCAGTGAGTACCACTTGCGCAAGTGACCCGTACTAGAGCGTGCGTACTCTCTGCAGCGCGTTTACTGATTGGCTTACATCAGCGCAAGCGCTGTCGATCCTTTTCCAGTCTCGATACTAAACAGATTGAGCACGACGACACGACGCTGACGAAAAAGAGGTGGAAGAAGACAACTGAAGTGCCTCGTCTTTATTATTTTATAAAGATCAGTTAAGACAAATAATTTCGGTAAGAATATGCAAAGTACATCAATTCACACAATGTATTTCATGTAGCCATACACAACACTCTCGACATTTGCAACATGCAGTGGTTTTATACGCTTAATGGAAGGCAGTGTGATTGTGAGCTGCAAGCAATGAGCTGTTTAAATGGACAATGCGACGCCAGACATCTCTTCCTTTCCGTGCAGTGAATGTTGTTTTCAAATTTCTAAAACGTGCTATGCTGATTTAAAGAATTGGGAAAATAGCAGCGAGCTTTGTTTCAGTTGTAAACGACATCAATCAATTTGCGCTTGTAAATACAGACGGCGCCATTTTGTCATCTCGCTGGTTTTGAGGTTTGAATGGCTGATGACGCCATACGATGGATGTTATTGTTAAACTCTATTTACTTAGGTCATTTTATTTTAAGAAATCAAAGAGTGCTCTATTTTCAAAGCTTATCTTGAACGGTTTCACATGTTTCTATTGTTATGATTCGCTCTTTTATTTCAGTGGTTGTTCCAGCTAAAGCAAGCTGTAAACGTGCAAAATAAGCAACGTTTCCTTGATGAGGCTCATTTCATATTCGATGTTGTATCTAGTTTATTGACACGTCGTCATATTTCAGCATACGCATAAAATTGTACTTTAAGAGGTCGTTTATGGTGACATTGGAGTGTTTGATTATGGTGACATTGGAGTGTTGATGCAATGGAAATCCCCAAAACGGTTTTTATACAACGTTTTTTTTAAAGTGCAATCAACAGACCTCAACCTTGATGTCATACCGGTACTTTAATAATTCGGTTGTTAGTAGTTACTACCTGTTTTTTGGCCTACATGCATTCAGGTTTATGTCCACATGGTTATTAGCCTCTGATTATGTGACGTAGTTTCCACTTTTGGTTTAAGGCTCTTAACATTTTATAAACCTTATCAAGCAGAATGTTGGAGGTTGTTGCTCATTTTGGGTCTGAAGACACTCTGAGTTTTATATAACTAACCTAGTTTTGTGGTTTCTGGTGGTGGTAGGTGATCAAATACTTCTCTTCCTATTTAAACAGTTCACCATTTTTTTTATTCTGTTATAATTTGATCACCCTAACCAATAAGACCCAGAAAAATTAATAATTAAATGTTCAATTAAAGCTATCATGTCAGAACACTTGGATTTAAGCCACTCTATAGCCTAATTTATGGATTACTTTTACAATCTATTTTTGCACTTTTTGATGCATTAAAGTTTTAGTTGCATGGACTTTCAAAGTAATGACAAAGATGATGAAAGAATATTGTATCTCCATTCATGTACTGAAGATAAAATTAAGCTAATAAGTCTTATAGATTTGGAACAACATGAAGGTTGAGTAAATTGACATAATTAATTTTTGGGTAAACCATCCGTTCAAGTGTCATGGCCTAAGTAAAGTGTCAATTTCATGTTCTTTTGTAGTGTAATAGTGAAGAGAGGTTTCTACAGTGGTTGTACTGTTTAGTGTCTAATTGGCATTTTTTCTGATATTCTTGTATGTTGTTTACAGGTTACCAATTTACAGATTATTAATACAAGAGTTGGGATTAAACAGGCTTGATGCTTTTAGAGAGGTTCTCTAATTTACGTTTCTTATTAATTGCTCACAATTTACCAGCATTATCAGATTTTATCTTCACTCTATGCAAGGTCACAATCTGTTTTTCTAGCTTAATATATTACAAAATGTTTAAAAATGTTTTGATGCGTTGCTGTTAAGTATGAATGTTTGCTGGGGTTCATGAAATACATGACATTCATGTTTTCTAAGAACAATTTTAATGTGTATGGCTTTTGCGAAGCAGCCGGCAAACTTCTGATGTGCACAAGTGGTGATTCAATTTATTGTTTTGCTGTAGCAGAATGTTACAAAATGGGCTGGAAATTGCTGGATGGTTTTCTTGGAGACACTCATGGGTATGCTTGTTCTAATGCTGTTTACATATATTTCCCTCCATTTATTCTTTTTATTACAGTCGAGAATTGATTTTAAATGATTGCCGTCAGGATTGGCTTGGGTATCCTGTGCATCTTGTAACGAAGCAGCACTTTAAATACAGGTAAGCATTTGAGGGATATTGAGATGGTCCTCACTGCAGAACATGAAATCCACGGGGAGGAGTCGGATCCAGATCCAACTCCTCCCACCTTACATATACCTAAACCTACCCATCTCCGCCCCCTGATCCCTAAACACACCCCTAATCCCTAAACCCACCCCTAATCCTACCCATCTCCACCCCTCGGATCTTGATCCGACTCCTCCCTGTGGATCTTATGTACTGGTTTGAGGTGCTACTGGGGATATTGGTCAAACAAACTTAGAAATATTTGGTCAACTTTTTAAAAATTGTTTAATAAAAGAGTGAGAAAAATTAATGAATTTAGAAATGTCGAAATTTGTTAGAAATATTTTGTTGTCCTGAGTAATATATCATTGCAGTATGGATTATTTGTGAATGGATGACCATCTACAATGCAATTCAAATTTTTACAGTGCTACTAATGTTTTGGGGGACATTTATTTGGCTACAGTAAAATGTTAAAAAGCAAATACATTTTTTCAGAGGGGTCCCAGGGCTCAAACCCAAGGATTTTTTCCTACTGGTCCAGTCAGGCCAGTGGTTAAAATACTTGCCCTGCCAAAAAAAAAAATTCTTTAAAAACTTTATATTCTCTTAAGATATAACACACTGTTTTTACTAGGATACTCGCCGAGATTTTTTGAAGGTATTTTGTGTGAATATGTCCGTTCAAAAATAGACGTGAAAGAGAGCTCTATTCAGCATTCGCATGCTGTCGGAGAAGCGTCTTTTGTGGGTGTGCGCTTCAGATGTGTGCGCACACAAAACTTCTCACACTATTGAATTGAGTTCTATTTAACGTCTTCTTGCACTTAAATATTTAAATTGGCAAGGCTTAAAAACACGTGCAAATGATAAACTCGTAATGCAGCACTGGCCCAATCGGGTGAGTGACAGTTGCATCAACTATCCCGAGCGACGTTTACTCTGGCCCCTGGCCATCGGGCAGTCCTTATTGTTGGGCCCTTCTTCCCACAGTTGTTAAAAACCTGGAAATATAAGGGTCATTTTTAAATTGTAATTTCTAACTCTGGAAAAGTTAATGGGGATAGTTCACCCAAAAATGAAAATTTTGTCATTTACTCACCATCAAGTTGTTCCAAACCTGTATGAATTTCTTTCTTCTGCTGAACACAAAAGAAGATATTTTGGAAAAATATGGGTAACCAAACAGGCCCAGGGTCCCATTGACTTCCATAATATATTTTTTCTCCATACTATGGAAGTCAATGGAGCCCTGGGCCTGTTACCCATATTCTTCAAAGTATCTTCTTTTGGTCAAAATGTGTGGGAACCCTGTGGTCAGCAATCTTCAAGCCTAGGACTGTGTAAAATAAGCTAAAACAGTGGTTTTCAATGCTGGTCCTGTGTTTTTTTCATCCTGGTCATAGGGTCCCACAGTATGCTAGCGAGTGTGCTTTAGCTATGACTCCAAAGCCATTAAAAGGTGTGATGAGCTAAGAATCTGTGTTAGGCTTTGATGTGTTAAAATTCATGCGCTATTTTTAGAGATGCACCGATTACAATTTTCTAGGCCGATTCCGATTTTTCATTGAGTTTGACCTGCCGATGCCGATTTTAGCCGATTCCGATTTCATTTTTTCTAACCACTTTACAGCACACACAAATATTTATTTTCTATCTTTTCTTTAATAGAACATTTTACGTTTTGCATAAAACATTTTTTTTTTACAGATAATCACTATAAAATAGAACTATATAAATTACTCCTGGTGTGGGAAATTCACACACATCTAAAATGCAGTGTTATGGAAGAACCATTTCCTTCTTTTCACATCCAATATCCTACTAAAGAAATTCGATATATTTAGCAAACTAAACTTCTGTATAAAAACAGGGAAAACAGGTAATGACAATAAAATATAAATGACAAATAAAAATAAAATAAATATAACCTTGCAGTATAAAGATATTTCTCAAAACACACACACAGGCCTATTGCAATCACTTGTACATCAATGGCAAGTTTTTCTTCGCAAAAAGAAGCATTTCTGCTTTGTCACCAGATAGTCTGTTTCTTCTCTCCTCTGCCACATGTCCAGCCAGGCTAAACAAGTGCTCACTGTCAACGCTTGTACATGGTGCAGAGAGGTAAGCTTGGGTAAATGGAGCAAGTGCAGGGAAACTAAATAATAAAAACAAGTTTAAATGGGTAAATTTTCTATAAATATTTGAGTCTTCATTTTCTTTTCTGACATACCCTACTTCAGTTCTTGTTAAAACACACTAGACATGCAAATTCTGTGCATTTTGGGCACTTTTTGTGTGAAATAATATTTATTTTGTCCATCAAAAGTGTGCTTTCACTTTGAGCGTGAGCAGCGCAGCAAAAATACACTCTGCGCCGAAACCCCCGCTTCACTGCTGCTGATGCGATGCTCCTGCTTGACGCTCACGCGCTGCTCCTGCTCCCGGTGTGAATGCACTCATTTATTAACATGCACGCCGAAAAAAAATACGCGCCACTCACGCTTGCGGAGTGAAACGGTCGTAATTCACAAGGTTTCCTACATGTGCGTTCCGTCCGTGTGCACGTGTGATGCTGATGTTGCGCGATGTTAATCATGTGGCGCCCGGGTGCATTTGACCGGCATAAAATCGGCATATGTCAGACTGACTGGCCAGTCGCCGATCACGTGAAAATGGGTCAATTCCGGTCACCAGTCGATCAATCGGTGCATCTCTACTATTTATTTAGCTGTTGTCATAATGTTTCTCACATAATCTTTGGACTTGCTGTTAATTGTCTTGTGGTTTGTATACTGGTTCTCTGTGTTATCTTTTTGTCTTTTACCATAGCCTGACAGTCGTTGCCTTCTTTCATCTACAGGTGTGTTTTGTTGCACCTCAGCATGGCTGTGGTCATCCGTTTGCAGGGTCTCCCCATTGTGGCTGGGACTATGGACATACGTCATTTCTTCTCTGGATTGACCATCCCGGATGGTGGTGTGCATATTGTAGGGGGTGAACACGGTGAGGCTTTTATCGTGTTCGCCACAGATGAAGATGCAAGGCTTGGAATGATGCGCACAGGGGGCTCGATCAAAGGTTCCAAGGTGTCTCTGTTACTGAGTAGCAAAACAGAAATGCAAAACATGATTGAGCTGAGCCGTAGGCGCTTTGAAACCGGCAGTGCAGAGGTTGCCACAGGAAATGGCAGTAGGCCGGGTCCACCAGTTAGTACTGGTGGAAGTGGAAGGGGCAACTTGGCAACCACAGCCCAAGGTTTTAGTAACACAACTCAGACTACAGCCACCACAGCAGTGTCAACACACGAGGCTGTAAGCAACAAGACTGTCCCTACCTTTTCGACCACTACCATGGGAAATATGCCCCCAAACTTTAATAATTTTAGCAGCCCAAGTCTTAGTTTGGGATCAACAATGACAACAGCAATGTCATCCTTGAACTCTGTACCTCCCCCAATACCTCCCTTGCCCACCATGCCAACTCTACCACCGATGCCCCCCATGCCAGGACCCCCACCAGTATCCACATTACCACCGGTACCTGCTGTTAATCCGCTAACGTCAGTGCCTCCGGTCCCTCCCATTGCACACATGACGCACATGTCTGGGCTTCCTCCATTCAATCCTGGTGTCCCTCCCCCAGTCGGCCCTTTATCTGGTGGTATAGCTGCCTCTGGTCCACTGTCTCTCGGAAATCACAATCCAATGTTCCTGAATCACCTAAACCCCCATAACCTCCAATCTCACATGAAATCAGCACCGACAAACCCAGATGAGTTTTACGTTCATCTACACGGCCTTCCTTTTTCAGTCACTGAATGTGAAGTCAGAGATTTCTTCCAGGGACTTGGGATTGAGTCCGTTCGTTTGCTCAAAGACCACCTGGGTAGAAACAGCGGCAGGGCATTGGTTAAGTTCTTCTCGCCCCAAGAGTCTTTTGAAGCTCTGAAAAGAAATGCTGGAATGATTGGCCAAAGATACGTTGAAGTTTCTCCAGCTACAGAGCGACAGTGGAGAGAGAGTGCGGGACAGTCTAAAGCAAGTGGTGACTCCGAACACAATCGCCATCGTCGCAGAAGTGCCAATTCGCCACCACCCTCTGGTCGCGAGCGAGCCAGATCCCGATCTCCCCACAAACTAGAATTCTGTGTGTATTTGAAAGGACTCCCGTATGAAGCCGAAAACAAGCAGATCTTTGAGTTTTTCAAAAATCTTGACATTGTTGAAGATAGCATTTACATTGCGTACGGTCCCAATGGCAGGGCAACCGGTGAGGGATTTGTGGAGTTTAGGAATGAAAATGACTACAAAGTTGCTCTCGGATGCCATATGCAGTACATGGGTAGTCGGTTTATTCAGGTGCATCCGATCACAAAGAAAAACATGTATGAAAAGATAGACACCATTCGCAAACGAATGCAGGGTTCCCAGGGCGATCAGAAGAATAGCTCGGGAGGAGGAAAGAGTGCCAAGAATTGTGCTCACATAACCAATATTCCTTATAACGTGACGAAAAAAGATGTCCGTCTTTTTCTTGATGGCATTCAGTTGTTTGAGGAAAGTCTTAAGGTCCTAGTTGACGCAAATGGTAATGGTCTTGGCCAGGCTATTGTGCAGTTCAAGTCTGACGAGGATGCACTGAAAGCAGAGAGACTCCATAGGCAAAAATTGAATGGCAGGGATGCTTTTGTCCATTTGGTAACATTCGATCAGATGAAGGAAGTTGAGAGAAATCCTCCTCCACAAGCAAAGAGAGGCCAGAAATCCCTAGGAAATTCTCATGCCCATTCTCATGCACATGCGCAGCCCCAGGCCCAAGTTCCCCAGGTGCCTCATGCTTTTCCAGGAATGACAGGCGACGAGTTTAGTTTTCTGAGAAATGCTGTAGGGACCCTTGGCAACGGTCCCCCTTTTGTCAACCCGTTCGTTGCCCCAGGTAACGGACTGGCAGGTCCACCGCCTTTGCCGCCACTTGGTGCTGCTTTGGGTGATGTCTCGCTAGGCCTTCCCCCACCAATGGTTGGAGGACCCCTTCCCGGTCCTGTTCTAGAGCACCCTGGTTTCAGACCCAGTGCACCTTCTGGCTTTGGTGCACCAGAGCCATTAAGGGGCATCCCATCATTTGATAATGGATCTTCTCGTAAAGCCATCGGCCAAAATCATGGAGGGATCCAAGGTCAGAGGCCAGCTTCTGAGAGTCTTAGAGGACCTTCCAGTGGTCCAGGTAATTCAAGGCCCACCATTGTCAAAATTCAAAACATGCCCTTTACTGTGACTGTTGATGAGATAATCGATTTTTTCTATGGCTATCAAGTGTTGCCTGGTTCTGTATGCTTGCAATTCAGTGAGAAAGGTTTGCCCACTGGGGAAGCGATGGTTGCTTTTGACTCCCAAGATGAAGCAATGGCTGCTGTTATGGACCTGAATGATAGGCCTATTGGGGCAAGAAAAGTGAAGATCACTTTGGGATGAAAACAATGACTTTGTCATTGCAAAGTATGTTTTCTTTTGACACAGTTTTCTGACAAATTAACTAAACTGGTTGTTTTTAAGTACATAAGAAGAAACAAAAGTATTAGTTTTTTTTTCCTGGACACATTATGTATCCAAGATTGCGTTACATGAAGCATGACAATTGAGGAAATACAATATTTATTTTAAATTCCTCTAAACAGCGTTGTTTAAGACTTCAGGCCAATAATGTTTTAGTTCGCATCTGCAGATCAGAAAAAGGGGCTACTTCTTAGTGGTATGTTCATTAGAGCCTAATAGCTGTGGAGGAGGTTAGTTCCTCATTGTTTGGTATCTCCGCTCAAGTTTTACACATCTGTATATTATCCATGCTGCATCTACGCATTTGAGGAAAAAAAAAAAACTGCTGCTGTGCATTGTGCGCTATATACATGTCTACACTTCAGTTACAATGTTTGCTCTCTGCTGCAGGTTTTTTTTCTGTCAATAAAATGCAAATGCTATGTCTTTATCAATATCTGTTGCTGTCACATTGGATTGCTATAAAAGCCTGATGTCAAACCAATACTTCACTGTACACTATAAGCGGATGTGAAGCACATGCGGCATTGTAATATAATGTATATGAAAGCATTTTACTCTCTTTGCTTAGCTCTCTTCACAATGTGTTGTTGTGGTGTTTGATGATAGCTTCCTTTTTTTTTTGGATGTTTGGCTTTTTTTAAAGTTCTGCAGAAATGGATCAGTTGTTATACGTAGTTTATTTTGACGTTCCAGCGCTTTTTCTCTTGTAAATACTTTCCAGCTGAACTATTTTGTCAATAAAATGCCATTCCTGAAATGATGACACTTAAAGGTATTGTATTCTCTCCTGTCCGTCTGTTTCTTTCAGTTCAAATGTGAACAATAAAATGTTTTGCTGTGACTTGTTTCCCATATTGAACTGCATATTTATATTTTCAATCCCCCCCTCCCATCAGATGTCTTCTAAAGATGTGACTCTAGCTCAAATCTTTTGCTTTTTGCTTAAGACTCTTTATAATATTGTGGCATTGACCTTTTCCCCCAGTGCTTTATTTAAAACGTAATTTTTTACATCAAAATAAGGCCCTCTTTTAAAATTGTATATTGATATGCATTTCAGGTAAAAGCTTTATACTGTTTTGTTTTTTAGAGTGAAAAAATAGACTAGTAGTTATTTTAGTTTGGATTCTGTTGAACTTCAAAGCATAAATTTAGTATGCCCTTATGCCTGCAGCATTACACAAAACATATCTAAATTGTGTATGGATAAAAAAACTAATGAAATTCTGCCCCAGTTGTGTTTTTTTAAGAATGCAGTGTCTTTATATGAAACGTTAAAGAGGAACACATTTTTGTATTTGGCTGTTTTTGAACTTTGTTTTGATATTAAAGTGGATGAACAATTCTCATGCAAACTGCACTGAGAGACACGTGACATGTTTCATCGTTTTGGCTGTGGATTATGATGGCAAATGATGATATGCTGCATAAAAGATTATTCAAGTTGCACATGCTTGCCATTTCTCTCTAACAGCTGGGTTTTCAAAGAATTCTGCACATTCTCGATGCATTTCTTTAAAGCAGGTCAAGTGGTATTGCTCTCAAACAATATTGCTCTCTTTGATGCTTTGAATCTGCTTGCACTGGGCCTGTTCAGAAGCATAAGTTCACGTTTATTTACGCAAGTTTTTTTTTATTTGGGTTGAGCTTTTGTACTTTTGGTGTTGTGAAATGCTTCGGAATTAAATTCATGATGAATTGAGTGCATTTCTGCCCGTTTCGCATTCTTGAGTGGTTCTCAAGCATTGTGGACTGCATATTTTACTTTGTGCTTTTTTGACGCTGAGCCTTGATTCCTGATTAACATTAATGTTCAGGTAAGTTGTAATCATAGACATTAGTGCTGCTATAAACTATCTGTGAGCATTGGATTTTCTGCCAGATTTATTAGTGTTTGATAGTTTTTTAGTTTTTAAGGAAGACTGCATTGTGGGGGGGAATTGGGACTTTTAATTTTTTGCTTTAATTGAGTTCATTTTGATAAATTAAATGTTATTCATTGCCAGAGTAATTCTGGAAAATTCTGGACTGCTATTGCAGCAGAAATATATTGTTTATATATTTGCATTATTATTATTATTATATTTTTTTAAAGTGGAGGTATTTGAAATATTGTTTCTATGGCCTGGTTTCACATACAAGGTTTAGATTAACCTAGGATTAGGCCTTAGTTCAATTAGGATATTTAAGTTGCTTTTATGATGTGCATTTGAAAAAAAACATTACAGGTGTAAATCTTGAGAAAACAATGGCACATATATTAAGATGGCAGACCAAGTTACTTTCAGTTAAAACCGCTCAAACCTGCATTTTAGTCTGCGACAATGTTTAAGCCTTGTCTGTGAAACCTGGGGTATAAGTTGTGTGCACAATAATAGTTAAAACATTGCTTTATGGTGGTGATTTGAATTGGTAAGATTGATGTTGAAAAGTAAAGCTTTTTTAAAGACATTAAGACGTCTATACATTTAAGGCTATATTTTGATTGCACTGCAATATCAAGAAGGAAAAAAAGGCCACTAATTTGTCACTCTTAAAGACAGATTAGCCAGCAAATACGGAGTAATAGGAATTTGTTCTGTAGTGTGTGTTTGTTTGCTTTTTGTAAATTATTTGGCCCAGTTGTGGAATCTGTGTTACCATGGTGACATAGCGGTCAAGGCAATCACGCTCTGCTTCTGCTCGCTGTTTTTCTAACCCAATTGCTAAGACAGGTTGCTCTTAAACCAGTCGAGACTAGTTGCTGTGCTGTGGTGGCACTACTGATAAAACTGACACACTGGCAGAATACGTAACAAATGTAATGCTTCTGATTGATTGCTGCATTGTTGGGTGTACGTGAAAGTGTTATGAACTCATGCAGTCATATATTAATTTATTCAGCAATTACGCTGAAACTCTGTTATAATATAAATTAAGTGGGTAGTATTCGTTACACGCGTGTTTTAATATACGTGTGATGAGTATGAGTTCACGGCGTTGGTAAAAATGAGAATGTTTGTAGTTGTTGTTGTCTGTGTAATGACTCACTCCACGTTGGTTTCATGCACAGTGGTCTGTGCTGCCGCTGCGGGCTTGTGCTGTGATTGACAGGCCCCTGACCAATCGCAGCGTAGTTCAGCTGGCGTTCTGACCAATAGCGTTGCACGTCCAGAGAGGAGCTGAATGGCACCGCCCTGCTCATTTGATATTACATGAACGTGTCAGGGTGTAGACGGTAGTACTAGTAAGCAGTTTTGTTTCGACAGAGAATCTCCGAACACAATTTCTGCAGTTTGAAAGTTGTTAAGGGTATGATGATATTTTTAGTTTCACGGTTGCATTTTGTCAGCTCATCTTATAGTATCGGGATGTCTGTATTAGATTTGCAGTGCGCCATTAAGCAATGCAGAAATATAGTTTTAATCGCGTTAACACATTTAAGGCGTGACTCTCGGACAGTCTCAAATACTGACATTTAGGCCCTCGGACACGACATTTGCCACATTTGTTTTTTTATATATATTTTAAAACGCGTAATTTTGTAAAAAACGAGCATGTATGATTCGAAGATTATATGCATTTTGTATTGCTTTTTTTACGGCCAATTTGATCTAAATTGTCTGAACATTCCTTTCTTTCATCAAATTTCACTTCCTCACGTGTACATGTTTCAGTAATGATTCATTGAAGCAGTTAAGCTCGAGGCAAGAACTTCATACTTTTTTTTGTGTCTGTTGTGGTTTTCAGATGGCCGTTCAGTGTGTGTCGAAAATCGAGCTCTCCATCTCTTGCAATAATCTTCTGGATAAAGATGTTGGGTCCAAATCTGATCCACTCTGTGTTTTGCTGCAGAGTGTCGGCGATGACAAATGGACAGAGGTAAGTCATACACTTTAACCCTCGAACAGCCGCTGTTACAATAATTGCAGTTACGTTTCCTTTTTTTATAGTATTACAGCTGCTGACACTTTCAAATGTATCACTGCAACAGTTTTAATGGGAGAAAATGTCACTGCTCTCTGACACCATTACTAACACCTTTGAAACAGTTAGACGTTTCTGTGCAATACATTTTGATTTATTATTTAAAGTAGTTATTAAACATATTATAGAAAGAAATATGTTCTTATTTACTTTTATTATTGGTAAAATTATTTTGCAGGCTTTAGGATTGCAGAATGCATAAGTCTAATTCAGTGTGTGTGTGTGTGTGTGTGTGTGTATATATATATATATATATATATTAGGGCTGTGAATCTTTGGGTAGGCAGCGAATCGATTCGATTCACGATTCATAGGTTTTCGATTCAAGAACGATTTTTGCAAATTCAGAAAGATTCGATTCAATGCGATTCACATTAAAATTCGATGCGATTCGATTAATTCGATTCGATTCTTAATTTTGTATATGCATAGGATTATTTAAATGCTTCCCCCAATGGGTCTTAGTCAGGGTGTGAATTATACAGCTGCCTTCGGGGGTCAGAGAGTGAAAAAAGAAAAAGAAAAAAAAAACACATTTTGTCTATTGTTAACGTTTATATCATGTTAATTTTTAATGAATCTATTATTATAAAAAAATATTTCCAAAGCCTATAAATTAGCATTTGTAAAAATGTAAACCAAGATTTAAAAAGGCTTTAAAAGTATAGTTACTTTAAGTATTTTGTAGGAATGGATACACAACCTTAAAGTGTTCCTGGTACATTAAACATCCTCCATTGTGAGACAAAAATACCATGAACTTTCCCAACTAAACCTTAACTAACTTTATCCGATTGAACATTTTCCTTGTGATTCTGAAAGAAAACGCGCCGGCTGTCTACTTGTATGGCAAGCCGTGATATCAACAATTGAATTGCTACTAGTAACAATGTTCATTTTTGATATCAATAATTCAATTTTCACTAGTGTCAATGTTAATTTCTGATATCATGAATGTGATTGTTACTAGTAAGAAAGCCATTTTAGAGATCTGAAATAATATTGATATCAGAAATACATTTTCAGATATCAAAAATGAAAATTTTTACTAGTAGCAATTCAGTTGTTGATATCAAGAATAGACATTTAGACTAGTGACAATTTAATTATTGATATCAGGAATTCGCATTTTTACTAGTAACAATGCAATTATTGATATCAAAAATTATATTTCTACTAGTAAGAAATCAATTCTTGATATCAACAATTGATTTTGAATGGCAGCCTATGGTGACATTTCACTAGTGAAAATACAATTGTTGATATCAAGAATTACATTTTTGATATCAATAATTCAATTGTTGATATCAAGAATTCAATTGTTGATATCAAGAATTCAATTGTTGATATCAAAAATGTAATTGTTGATATCAAAAAATGTAATTGTTGATATCAAAAATGTAATTCTTGATATCAACAATTCATATCCTGGAAATGAATAAAAGTTAAAACGGCTTGCCATACTACTTGTGCTATATTAACGATTACGAATGCAACTTTAATGCGCATCTGATTGATGGATAAACCACGCGCTCTTATTTCAGTGTAATTAATGTTGTAGTTATTTCATCAGTTCAGTTTAACGACATTAAGTTACATTTCATTCATCATTCATGATTAATCGGACGCGTGTGCATTTTAGACACCTATTATACGTTTTCTCTTTCCATGTAATAAATGCGCACCCTTGAATAAGTGGGGTTTTACTTTTAACTGCTCAGGACGGGTATGACCCATTTCCGTAAAACTTCAGTATCTTAACTTAAAGAAAATAACGGTGACGTTTCCACGCAACGAACGCGTTGTTTCATAGCAGTGACCGCCCAATGAAATGGCAGCTTTATCAATGGCTTGCTTTCTCGATAGAGAGCTGTCATCTGCTCATGTGAACACTAATGGCTGTCCTGAGGAGAGCTCAAACATGGACTGCTCAAAAATCTGTAGATGAGAGCTATATGGGACCGAGCGCGAGCGAAATCCAGTGAAAGATGGTAAGAGTGCAGCGAGTGAGAGCTGTGAGGACGCGAAATGACGCCGCACAACGCCTCATTAATTCGCGCATGTAGTCATTTAATTAATGTTTATATGTTGTAAAGCACTGAATCGATATAGAATCGCAAATTATTCGATTCTTAGCATTTTAAATCGAATATTGACCGAAATAAACGATTCACGATTCGAAATACATGTTTCAAGATCGATGCATATGCATCGTCAGGATTTGTAATCGATGCATCGAGAAAACGAATGAATCGTTACACCCCTAATATATATACCTACATGGATGCATGCATACATACATGCATGCATGCATACAAACATGATGCATATACAGGTCAAACTAGAAAAATTAGAATATGGTGCAAAAGTTCATTTATTTCAGTAATTCAACTTAAAAGGTGAAACTAATATATTATATAGACTCATTACATCCAAAGTGAGATATTTCAAAGCCTTTATTTGTTATTATTTTGATGATTATGGCTTACAGGTATGAAAACCTTTTCACAATATTCTAATTTTGAATTTGGGGTTTTCATAAGCTGTAAGCCATAATCATCAAAATGCTGTGTCTGAAACCGCTCCCTATCCACTATATAGTGCACTATATCTGGTGTCGGCCATTTTGTAGTGGTGTCCGAATTCTGAGTGAACGACATAATTCCATACATTCGTTTACTACTTTTACCCACAATCCTCTCTGAATTTGAGTGTACATTCGATGTTCCTTTTTTTTATCAATCATTACTTAAATAAAACATTAAAATATTGAGGGAATATTATATAGATGAATTTTAAAATGAAGTGAAATGATATTAATAAGGTAAATTATATAGGTATATTATTTTTTTATTAATTATTATATAGGCATTAACTCAATTTAATGTGTTTTACTAACAGCCATGTGTTTTAATAATTTGTGACATTGTTGTTAACTCGTTAAACTGTAAGGAAGATATGATAATTTGGTGGATGATTCAAAAATATTCGTTAAACATCTCTAGGTAGCGTATTCATACGAATGTAATCATAATGGCCGCCTGAGTGCGCTCAACGACCACGTCATCTGTAAGCGTGAGAGTTTCTAACAATTTCAGTCGATGAAACTATAAAGCTGTCACGGAGGTATATATAATTACAAAATAAAGTCATTATGATTGCTATTGTTGTTGATATTATTTTTTAAAGTAAGTAACATGTAAGATAAAAGGAGTTTTATCACTTCATGTGACGAAGCCGTTTCTGCGACAGCTCCAGCTCTCAGACGCACAGTGTATACATCAGCGTCCAAATTCACTCACTTTACTTCACTTCAAATTGTGACGCCATGAAACATGCCAAATTGTGTGGACATCATTTTTGGCCTGGCTGTCATACAAAGAACACATGCAACTGCAAGAACAACAGAGAACCAACAAAATATTTGTAAATGACTGCTGTCAATATGTGATTCTTTATAAATAAAAATAATTTTTTATATATATTCCTCATTTTATGATGGTATCATTCGAACTTGTAGAGCCATTAAAAACAAATGACCTTATTTGCTTGTCACATTGCTGAATGTATGTGATCATTGCAGGTAGAACGCACCGAGAGAGTGAAGAATTGCCAGGACCCCGAGTTCTCCACAAAACTTCACATTGACTACTACTTTGAGAAGGTGCAGAAACTAAAGTTCGGCGTCTATGACATTGACAACAAGTCCGTTGACCTCAAGGATGATGACTTTCTGGGAGGCTTTGAATGCACCCTTGGTCAGGTATGGATTGTGAAGTGTGAAACAGTGAAATGCTGTTTTGTGCTAGTTGCTGCAGAACAGTGCTAGTAATTAGTCACACTGTACTTCATTAAAAATATAACATATGCATAATGGCTTTGTTTATGCACCAACCTTTACAACAGATCGTATCAAGTAGGAAGATTACCAGACCCCTTCAGCTCAAGGCAGCAAAACCAGCTGGGAAAGGCACAATAACGGTATGTTCATATAAACACTCTTACTGATATTTCTAATATGGCAACATTTGTAAAAGAACATGGGAATTTGTCACATGACAGTTTTACCATCTTCCTGTTGAATGTTTTACAGGCATCAGAATTCAATTCATTTTCATTTGTGGTATCTTTGTTTGTAGAAGAATTGAAGGGCTTCATAAAATAATTTGTTTTATTTGATAATCCACAAAAGCCCTCTGTTTGAGCTAAATAACATTTGCATATTTTAATTCATGCAAAGTTTGTCAATGATGTGTATCATCTAGCTGTTCGTTTTTGCAAGCATCGGTTTCCACATTTCTAAAACAATTCTGCCATTCAAAATGTTTCTTACATTTAGCAATGTTGTATCTTTGTTATGTGCAGATTACAGCAGATGAAGTGAAGGACAACAGGGCTATTGTAATGGAAGTGGAGGCAAAAAACCTGGATAAAAAGGTAGACATAATCATCCTCTGTTCTTGCATCTTGTTATAACCAATTATGATTTGTACTTCATCGGTTATTGCTGCAAAAGAAGCAGGGAAAATGTTAATGTCACCACTGGTTAACCACACAAAAAAACATATTCCGGGTAAAAGACCGTTATGGTACTAACTGTTTTGAGTTATATGGAAGCTGCACTATTCACTTATCTTTTTCAGGATCTGTTTGGGAAGTCTGATCCATTCTTGGAGTTTTTCAAGCAAGAAGAAGATGGGAAATGGCAGTTAATTCACAGGACAGAGGTTTGTACCCACTTTCACTCACTCAGTGAACCAAATATTAATATATTTCTGCATGCAGAACAAATCATGAGTCGTTGCATTTGTTTGCTGATGGTTGTGTTGACTTTGACCTGTTACCGATAGGTCATCAAGAATAATTTGAATCCATCTTGGAAAAAGTTTACGGTCTCCTTGCATACATTCTGTGGTGGTGACCTGAACAAACCAATCAAGGTAACTACAAAGGGGGTTTTTTATGCTCACTCAGATGTGCATTTGTCATAGTAAGTTATCAGAATTGTAGAAGACAGTTTCACTATGCAAGAGAAAAACAATTTACTTCTGCTCTTATTTCTATTTTTTGTAACATCACATACACTACCGTTCAAAACTTTGGGGTATGTAAGATTTGTTTTATGCTCTTGAAAGAAGTCTCTTAATGCTCACCAAGGCTGCATTTATTTGCTGCGTTTGTTTGACATGGAGATCTTTTGTAACCGTTAACCAGCTGCAACAGCAATACATGACCACTCTATTTTAGAAACTGTTTTTATTTCTGCAGCGTCATGGCTGGAACAACACAGTTTGAACGTTCAAGAACGTTGAAACTGTGGACTGCATTTTTGCCCTTATATCTTGAATTTTAGGGGCATTCTGACTGCATTCTGTAGGCTCCATCATGCAGCGAGTTGTTGCCCTTCTTCATGTTCGTCACCAATCAATTGTATGAAATGTAAGATTACATACTTAGGTCTGGGGTGGGTGCGATAAATGCGTTATTTCCCCCCATAACTAATTAATTAAATTAATGCGCTAAATTGACAGCCCTATTAAAAAATACATAGGTGTAATATTAATGGTCTGGTTAGGACACTGTGTAAAATTCTTAACTGATATATTTGATCAATTAAATTCAACTTTGCTTGATAAAATCTTACTGACCCCCAACTTTTGAACGGTAGTGTACAAAACTTTTTCAGAGGTAGCTATTAGATCAGAAGAAAAAACGCATAGCATCATAAAAATATAATCTTGTCATGTAAAGACGTCATCTGCCAGCACTTTCAGTTGTCCTAGTCCTTAGACTAAAGCTTTGTCTGATTGCTAGGTAACATGTTACGATAAGGATGAAGACACAAGCTCAGACATGATAGGAGAGTTCACCTGCACCACCGCTAAACTAATCGAGGCTAAAGACAATGCGGTGAGCAGGATACATGTCCTCTAATCTTCTCTAAACATCTTTCTTTTTCTTTCTGTCTGTCTGTCCGTGGCTTTTTGTTTTAGGTTCATTGTTTTGATTATGATAGCGATGGCTCTCATGATCTCATTGGTGTGTTTCAAACTAATGTGTCAGATCTGCAGAAAGCAGTTAATGGCTCCCCGGTGAGACTCCACCTCCACTGTGCCAGACTTTTTTGTTGTCATTGTGTTAATAGTAGAACATTTCTTTATCTTCACATAAATTTCCATTCTATTCACTTCTATAATTTCTGAGGGTTTTATTAAAGGGCATAAGTGAAAAGTTTTCATTTTTGTAGGTCGAGTTTGACTGCATTCATCCAGAGAAGCAAAAGAAGAAAAAGAGTTATAAGAACTCTGGGGTCATCAGGATTAAGTATTGCAAGGTTCGAACAACCTTCATCTGTTATGAATGAAAATGGAAATTGCAGAATTCTTTACAATAATTTTACAATAATGATAATAAATAATCTCCACACTGTCTTTCAGCTTGAAGCACAGTATTCATTTCTGGATTATGTGATGGGAGGTTGCCAAATTAACTTCACGGTAAGATCAGTCATGGCACAATATTTGTGGGGTTTTTTGTTTGTTTGTTTTTTGTAGTTGTTTACATGCTGATATTATCAATAGGTATAATGCAGAACATCAAATTTAGGTTATAAATGTGTGGCTTTATGGTTTAAGCTCTAAAACAATGGTGAAAATTGTTTGGTTTTAGGTGGGCATTGACTTCACTGGCTCTAATGGAGACCCCCGCTCCCCTGACTCTCTTCATTATATCAGCCCTAATGGTGTAAACCAGTATCTGTCAGCCATCTGGTCCGTTGGTCAGGTTGTCCAAGACTATGACACGTAAGAGGGCGATTTTGTCCATAGACATTCCACCAGCTGTGTGACAGAAAGGACAACACCATGCAATGTTGCTGCAAACTAACATATGTTCACCCATTGAGTAGTGCATTGTAATTGTTATAAGGAAAGTATAGAAATATGCAAGTTGTTTGAATATGTATACATTACCGTTCAAAAGTTTGGGGCTTGTATGATTTGTTTTTTTAAAGAAAGTTAAATTATACTTTTATTAAGTAAAGATGCATTAAATTGATCTAAAGTGACAGTTAAGACATTTAATGTTACAAAGGTTTTCTTTTTTTTCTTTTTTAATCACCATTTCCACAAAATAGTAAGCTATTTAACATTGATAAAAATAAATGTTTTTTTGAACGCAAATCAGCATATTAGAATGATTTCTGAAGGAAATACTGAAGTAATGATTGCTGATAATTCAGCTTTGCATCACAGGAATAAATTACATTTTAAGATGTATTAAAATACATATGAGTTCTTTTAAATTGTAATATTTCCCATTAGCTCTGCTGAATTTATCAAATACATTCATAAGAGACTTTTTGTCTACAACATATTTTTTTCTGTCTTCCCTTGTAGTGATAAACTTTTCCCAGCATTTGGATTTGGTGCTCAAATACCTCCAAACTTTCAGGTTAGACATTATAGGTGTCCTTGATACTTTTTGATTATTAGTTGGAATCATAATTTAATTTGACAAAAGTGCCTTTTTTCAATTTCTTAGGTATCCCATGAGTTCCCATTGAACTTCAACCCCAGTAGCCCATATTGCCAAGGTAAGGCAATTTAATTTAACTTAATTTAATGTTATTTAACAATTGCGTAACTGTCTTAAAAGAAATTCTAGCATGTTTGTCACATGTGCTGATGTTTTATTCCATGCAGGAGTGCAAGGAATTGTGGAGGCCTATCGTATGTCTTTGCCTCAAGTCCGTCTCTATGGACCTACCAACTTCTCCCCTATTATAAATCATGTGGCCCGAATTGCAGCTGGAGCCGCCCAGCAACCAAATGCAGCTGTGAGTAATACCACCAAGTGCCCTTTTTTCTTTCTTTTTTTTCTTTTTAGTGCACTGCCTCATCCAACTCAGGATGTGGTTTAATGGGTACTCGTGCGTTTTTGATCTGTGATCTACTATGGCATTTTCAGTCCATTAGCACTATGTATGTCTAACATCTTTCTCTCTCAATTAGCAATACTTTGTGCTATTGATCATCACTGATGGGGAGATCACTGATCTCGACCAGACCAGACAGTCCATTGTGAACTGCTCCAAACTTCCCATGTCCATCATCATCGTGGGTGTGGGTGAGGCAGACTTTAAGGCCATGGAGTTTCTTGATGGGGACAGTGGAGTTCTCAAATCTGTGACCGGAGATGCGGCGGTCAGAGATATCGTGCAGTTCGTGCCCTTCAAGCAGTTTGCCAGTGTATGATCCTCGTTATATTTGAATATAAATTGCATGCTGGTTAGAAGTTCTTAAATGCATGTCCAGTGTTTTCTGTTGTTACATCATTGTCAATACTTAATGGCATTTAATTTTTTACATCTCAATTTCTTCTTAGGCTCCTAAAGAAGCATTGGCTCAGAGTGTTCTAGCTGAGGTGCCAAATCAACTGGTGACGTACTTTAAAATGAGGAATCTGCTTCCTGTCAACCCCCCTCCACCGACCAAGTAGACACAGGTTTGCAGTGAAGACTGAAACATGGCCATCTAAATGAAATAGTTACAAGTTAAATATATGGAACACCACTAGAGGGAGCCACAGTTCTGTTAAAGGAAGCAATGTCGGGTGTTAAGCTCTTACGAATACCACTTGTATTCCATTTGTATTGCCTTTTTTATATATATTATGCAAACAATTTTCATTTTCAGTCCTTCATAGATTTCTTTTATCTTCCTAGATTCCTCATATTATTCTTTTCCAACTGGTATAGAGTTTTTATAAATATTCCTTTTTACAGATCTATTTTTCTGTATTGTTGCATATATTTTTTTTATATTGTTTATGGATAGGATACAGATGCCAAGATTTGAAATCAATGTTTAGGCCTTTCGCTGCTTTTTGATGCCTATGTATGCAATATCAATCAGGAATGCTGATTTATGAAATTCGCTACACTTTCTGAGCTATAGTAGTTATCAGAGCAAAGTGAATTACTGAACTCATTCAGCCACTATGCTGCGAAACACAATCATGCTGTCATAATAGAGATGATTAGTAGTTAGAACCTTGCCAAAGAAATCACTGCATGTCTTTTAGTTGCACACTATATGAATTTAAGTAGAACTGAATTTAAAAATGCTGGTTTACTAGTATAAAGGCATTACGTAGACTTTGGGACCATAGAAGACCACCGTGTCTTTTTAAAAAGTTGTAGTTAGTGCCAAATAATATTTTAAAGATTCCTTTGAAATGACAGGTAATTTGATTTATCTAACACAAATATTTGCACCTTAATCACACAGTAAAGTTAATCTGCACTTATCCATTAGAGCTGTTGAATTTAGTTATATGTATGCTTGCTCTTGCCACATAAAGCCTTATGGGACTGTTATCTTGTTTAAAGATTTTTTTTTTTTATCTAATGATTTAAATTGAATGGGGTTATAATCATATTATCATTGTTTTTCTCCATGCCATTGTTTTTTCTAATCATGAAATATGTTTACACAGCAGCATGTTCCATTCTTCAGAAGCCATTTTATACTGTCAAGAAATGCTGAATAAAATTGCCTTATTAACACACATAACACATGTTTGTTTTTTTAATCCTTGAATGTGTAACTTGTCATGTCTGCAACAAAAAAAGGCATAGTATTATTACAATCACTTTATGCCTTTTAGTCTTAAAGGCCGATCTGAGCACAGCCGTTCACCTGTACGCTCCTATTACGCCCTTAGTTCACTAACTGTTCAACTGTTAACTTAAATTATCATAGGTAAATATTCCAACTCCTCCGCTGCCTAGGGAGTTTTCCTTCAGATGGGATTCCAGCACAGTTCCTCAAGGTGTAGGGTCGTGTAGTCTGACAATGTTTTCAAAGGCCACATGTGTATTGGATATTTGAAAGCGGCTTAATTGAGGATAAATCTGTCTACCACTTCAAGTTAGATTGCATTATACCTCAAGAACAATGAGGACCAACTGCACTCAAAACTAACACTGGTGGATCAGGATTACAAGACGCAGAAACACACCAGCACTCTGCCATGTCTATTACTGTCATTTTAAAGAAGATATATAATCTGCCAGGGAAATATGACAGAAAAGTGGAGTTGTCATTTAGAGGTAAGTGCTGGATATTGAGGAGTAGCTAGCTATAATGCCATATGATTAATATTGTCGATTCAGCTAGATAAAAAAAATGTTTTGAATATATTGTTATATAAATCTTCAGTACTTCTAGATTATATGGGAAATGATTGAGGGATTATATCATGTTACTATTTTAAAACATTGTTTACGGTGCAGGATTTACTCACAAAACCAGGATCCTTCAGTGTGAGAATATAGCCATCTTCAATGAGGTAACTGTTTCAGTTGTGTTTACGATTAACTTCAGTTCATTTATCTTCTGCTTTTTTTAAGTTATGATAATCACAACAAGATACCAACAAAAACAGCTAATATTTTAATTACTGTTCCAGTCATAAAAGATAATTAGGCTATTAGCTGCTTTTCAAAAGTTTAGGGTCAGTTTGAATCTGTTTTTGAAAGAAATTTCTTATGTTCACCAAGGCTACACTTATTTTAGAAAAACAGTAATATTATGACATATTACAATTTAAAATAACTTCTGGTTTGATATATGTTAAAATGCCATTTATTCCCACTATGGCAACGCTGAATTTTCAGCATCATTACTCCAGTCTTCGTTGTCACGTGATCCTTCATAAATCATTATCTGCTGATTTGTTGCTCAAAAAGCATATTGTATTCATGTTGAAAACAGTTTTCCAGCTTATATTTTTGTGGAGGCCGTGATAATGTTTTCAGGATTTTTTTGATGTTCAATAGAACAGCATTATTTGAATAAAAAATAATAAAAGTATTACTTAATTTAAGATATTTTTTTAAAGGGTTAGTTTACCACAAAATGAAAATTCTGTCATCAATTACTTGTTTATCTTCGGAACACATCAAGATCTTTTTAATGAAATTGAGAGCTTTCTGTCCCTTTAATACTTTGTAAATAAAGTGGTAAATTACGTTTTCTTGCTTCGCTTCATAAAAATGAGGTTAAACCACGGGAGTCACGTGGATGACTTTATTGATGTCTTAACTACCTTTCTGGGGTTTGAAAGTGGTAGTTGTCTGTCGACAATGTAAGGACAGAAATCGCTCAGATTTCACTAAAAAGATCTTCATTTGTATTCCGAAGAGGAACAAAAATCTGACGGGTTTGGAACGACATGAGGGTGAGTAATTAATGACAGAATTTTCATTTTGGGATGAACTATCCCTTTAACCAGCTTCACGTTTTATGTAATTTTTGCACTTTTTAGTAAATGTGTATAATATTGGGTGGAATAGCTGTAAAAGCAACAAATGTAGCTGCTCATTGTTATATAGGCCTAGTTAAGTTGAAATCAGTGTTTGGTGGTTGTGAATGTTGGGAGGAGATCTTTAGTGGTTGGTTACCAATGACAGAAGGGACTTGAACATTCTCGTAAACAGCCACATCTATGAGCAGCATATACAGTAATGAAATTAAAATATTTGTTTAGAGGTATGTCACAAGGTTATCCTTTAACTTAAGCTAACAGATATTAGAATAGTGGGAAGGACCAGAAAGAAAAGCTGTTCAGCCTGAGTGAAGTTAAATCGTGTTCAACATGCTTTATGAAGAGGAAGTCTTTGGGGTTTTCATTTATGAGAAATGCAGTGACTGTAAAAGAGGGAGATATCTAACACAAACCTTTACAAATGAGTGTCAGGAGAGATCTAAGACATACAGACAACATGCTGTTCTTTTGAACTTTCTATTCATCCCACACATCACAAATGTTGATAATAAATGTCTGCTAAATGAATAAATGTAATAAGTTGAGCACTAAATCAGCATATTAGAATGATTTCTGAAGGATCATGCGACACTGAAGACTGGAGTAATGATGCTGAAAATTCAGCTTTGACATCACAGGAATACATTACATTTTATAAATATATTAAAATAGAAAACTTAATTTTAAACTGTACATCTTATCTCGAGATATGAGCAATCCATAATCTTGAGGAGTTGACCATCTGAAGGGAATTTTTAGCCTGTGTGGAATAAATAAACATGTTTTTACTGTTTTCTTTTCTGGTATTGTTTATATGTGACTTTAGCACTTCAGATGGCCTCACTATGGGAAAATTGAGAGGGATGAAGTGCTGTCAATCAGTGTCTACAACTGCAGTAAGATGTTCAGCAACAGGTCAGAACAGTATTCATTACAAGAGGGAAATGAACTGAATGATTCATAACAAATAATATTAGAAGATTTGGTATAATAAGCGCTGTATGTGTGTGCACAGATTGCTGGGGAAGCTGGTGATCAACCTGCAGCATGTGGTGTCTGTGGGACAGCTGCTTCTCCGTGAGTCTCTAACAGACAGTCAGCACAGTCTTACTGATGTGAGTTATGAACACACTCCTCACTCCTTTAACATCCCTTAAACAAATACACTTCATGATATTCTAACATTGGAGTGGTGAAAGATGATTGAATCCTTCATATGTTGTAGTATAGGTTTTGTGTTGGAATGTGATTATGGATTTCTGGTGTAGATCTACATGGAGCTGGAGGTGAAGTACAGCCCTCTTCAGGGGGCCGCAGGGGGGTGGGACAGTGAGGACTTCATCAGAGAAGAGGACAGTGATGGGTGAACTACATCCATCCATCATCCGATCTTTCTTTGTACCTTCCTTTCTCTGTTTATTTTCATCCATTCTTCCTTTCTTCATTCCTTCTGTCCATCCTTTCCTCTTTCTTGACTTCCTTCCTCTGTTTCCATCCATCCATCTGTCCCTTATTTCATCCATTTTCCCTTCCTTCATTACTTCCACTTCTTTAATCCATTATAATGTTTTCCTTCCTTCTTTTTCCATTTATCCATCCTTCTGTCCCTTTTTCTTCCATTTTCCATTCCTTCATTGCTTCCACTGCTTTTATCCATTATACCATTTTCCTTCCTTAATTTTTCCATCCATCCATCCTTTTTAATACATTTTCCCTTCCTTAATTGCGTCCACTGCTTTTATCCATTACAACATTTTGCTTCCTTAATTTTCCATTCATTCATCCATCCATCCTTTTGTCCTACATTTCTTCTCTTTCTTTTCATTCATTCATTCTTCCTTCAGTCCTTCACTCCTTCCATTAATTTCCCTTCTTTCATTACTTCCACTCCTTCTGTCCCTCCTTCCATTCATTTTCCCTTCTTTTATTACTTCCCCTCCTTCTGTCCATCCATTCTAACTTTTCCTTCCTACCTTATTTTTCCTTTCATCCATCCATTTCATCCAGGTTTCCTTTCCTTCAGCTATACCTTCTATCTAATCTTACTTTCTTTCTTCTGTCTATCCATTCTTCCTTTTGTCGTTTCTTCCATCTTTTCATCTATTATTCCTTCCTTCCTTCCTTCCTTCCTTCCTTCCTTCCTTCCTTCCTTCCTTCCTTCCTTCCTTCCATATTTAATTTCTTTCTACTTTCTTCCTTGTTTTCCATCCATTCATCCCATTTTCTCTATTCTATTTCAGCTCAGAGCTTGTCATCAGAAACACAGGTTTTACGGAACCAAGGTAGGACATCTTCTGTATGATCCACTATACATTTTCATACCCTTTATTCGTGGTATTCACACTGATATTTTCAATAATTCGCAGTTCTTCAGATGGCCTGCGTCCTCAACAGCTGGATCGTGAAACCAGGATGATTGGT